CAAGAGCCTCCGCAGGAGACAGCTGCGACATCAAGAGCCTCCGCAGGAGACCGCTGCGACACCAAGTTCTCCCTCACAGCCTTGAGCCCTGTGATTGTATAATCTTGAGCTTCCATGCAGCCTTGAGCCCTGCGTTATCAAAGTTGTGCTCGTTTAGGCGACCCGTGGCGCCGCGGTCTCGTCCTGATCCTCTGACGACATGCAGGCACCTCTTCGCGGTGTCAGAGACTAGTATTCGAGGAAATAACTCGAAGAAGCCAAGACCTGCTCCAATGAGTCCATACAAATTTAGAATCTTCTCAAGAGCTTTATGTTGTATGGTTCTACTTGTTCGTAGAATTCCCTTTTCGTACTCCTTGTCCGCGTAAAGGATTTTGTAGCCTTCAATCACCCCCTGAGCTTCGAGGATGCGCATTCTCTTCCATGGATGGAATGTAGATGGTATATTGCATTTTGGGTTATTGGTATCCGGTGCTTGGTAGTGTCAGCCAATCTGGATGATGCCTGCAATTCAAGCAGTTCCATTGGTGTGGAGGCTTTTCCAGGGGATGGTTAGCGTGGCGGCAGGAGTTGTTGGTAGTGGTGGGGTGCGAGTATTGCGGGCCGAGGATGGATAACGTATGTTGAGGGTCAGAATTGAAGGTGAGGCTCGGAGGCTCGATGGAAAATGGTGGTACAGTTTGCTGGTGGTGAGGCTAGAGGTGAGTGAGAATTGAGGGTGAACACTGGTGATAACCAGGTCGGACCAGTGGGTCCCTCCCTTTGTTGATGTGGTGCGGCGAAACTGCCGAGCGGTGAAGTGGCTACCAACGGTAATCACCCGACGCCACCCNGGAGAGACCGCTACGAAGGGTTCGATTCGGGCCTCTTCCCGTTGATACCACGCCGGAGATCATGCAATCTAGTCCGCACGGGCATGCAAAATCCAGTGTCCGTCGGTATGTGGCCTTGTCTTCTCAGCCCCATCACCAGCGTCTACGGCTACCCAGTTGCTAATTCGCATCGCAGGCTGAGCAGGCGGAAGAGGTACGTTGCATACTCTTCCTCGTCATATTTGAACCAAATCTGATACATGCAAGAAGCAGGTCTTTGAGAAGAAACCCAAAGTCCCACGAACGACGAGGTGTCCCCCGCAACAGAAAATGCCTCCCTTGACGGATGAAAATCCGAAGGTGGTCCGAAGGGTCTAAAAATGGAAATAAACAACCTTCAGAAGGGACTGACATCAATACGATCGCGGACTAGTTATGGATGATGGTAACATACGAGACAAACAGAAAGGCCCTGAACGGACAGAATACATACAGTGATGGTCAATTTGAGACCGTAGTTTCTAACCAATCCGTAGTCATGGGGTCGATTCGGTAAGATAGCGGAAATTTGCGGTCTCGGATAGAGATGTTTGGTTGGAATTGGTGTCCTAGCCAGGCCTCGACATTCCCCTGATGTAACTCCCGCCGGACATATCTCGTTTTTGAAATCGCGACATTATCTTCTGTATTATGCAGTCCTAGTGTCCCATATAGAGAATGGACCTAGTCTAGTGGACAATTTAAACACTTAGTCTTGGGACTAATTAGCCTGCCAAAATGTGCTAGGAAAAATGTAGTTCAAACTGGCAACACCGGGAAGAGAGGAGATGCTCAATCCCCCCGATTTGATGGCTAGAATGTACCTGTACGCCGGACCGCGGTAGCGGCGTAACGACCCTGAGAATTTGACCCTCACTCCGATTTTTTAGATGCAATTAATTTTTTTTCAAGGCCCACTTAAACGGTGAACGGTCTCTTCAACACGTTGAGGATATTTCACCATCAATTATGAGAGGCAATTGCCAAGAAATGAATCTCAGGGTCGCCCAATTCAGATCTACTCATGCCATGGTTCAAAGTGGATCGATTTGCGCGATGGTGGCAAACTCTAAATAGTATGCATCAACGGCTGTTGAATCACCTCAACTGGCCTCAGAAATAGGATATTTTTAACAAAATTACTGCGTAGTAAATCATCTGCCCATGCAATCTGCGTTGCTGGCATCTATGAGCAAACGAAGGCGAAAACACATAAAAGGACTCTCCTTGACCAGTCTAGAACTTTAGGATTAGGATCCTCTTCCTTCGAGACGGCACTGTCTTTAGTCTGCCTACGGACTTGAAGACGTTTTTGCCTTGGAATTTACTGCCTGAAGTCCACTCAAGTGACATATATGTCCTTCGGAAGACACGGCCTGCGTTACCAAGAGCCTCCGCAGGAGACCGCTGCGAAATCAAGAGCCTCCGCAGGGACAACTGCGAAACCAAGAGCCTCCGCAGGG